CCTCGCCACACGCAGTGCCAATACCCTTTTTGAGCTTCTGCTTACCCGGGTTCCTCGTACAAATCGAGGGTTCCTGTGCACGGAGGCTAAAGTTTTAAAGGTGTTGGAGCAAAAGACCGCACCTACGATAATCTGAAATATTCGGTTTGCATGAGTAAAAAAAACCTCGGGTGCTAAACGCCCATTGTGGGAAGCTTCCCACCGGAAGCTTCCAGAGATTTTACCTTGACTGGCTTGCGCCAGACTCCGACTTTCCGGCTGCACGGCCTCAGGAGAAATCTGTTGTTGCTTGACATTGCTTGAACAGAGCCTGGCACTCCCTGTGGTGGCTGCATGACCACAAGTATGCCAGGCTTTGAAAGCAGCACTGCCCTATCATAATGCATTTAATCATGTGCTGCCACTTTCATAGACTTATATACTGGTGGTTCTTATGGAAGTAATATAATGTCTACATAACTGATTAATAGCTTCCCTTATTCCCTACTAATCCCCAATGACTAACCCTCTTCAATTTGATAGTGTACCAAGGAGGCTGCGTCGCTGCAAGAACTCATTGCAGACTTGACGTTGTCTCGGGCAGGGATTCTGAAGGCCGGTACCATTGGGATTATATAGGATAGGGGTTTGGGGTTTAGATTATATACTATTGGGATACGTAGACCCATTACGGAGAATCGCACGGACAGGATAACGGAACATGAAATGTAAACCGGGATTTATATAAAGGGGTTTGTAGGATTGAGGCTTTCCCAGAATGGAGGGTACCTTCTTGGGGTCCCATACTAAGGGTTATCATATTGTAGGGTCAATATTGAGGTCCCCCTACTTATGGAAGCTACCATACGCAGGGATATGTAGCAAGCCAATGGCAAGAATGCGGACCAAACGGAAAAGAACATGGAAGATGAACTGAAACACTGTGTCCATTTCATTTACATAAACCCTACACCCTAATGTTTAGGGAGGTGGGTTTATGTATGTACCGTACCCCAAAGAAAGGATAATCACATGGCAAACGGAAAATGTAATTCCAAGTCAGGGGTGCAAGGTGATGGTAAGGGTAGGCATGGCTCGTATCAGCAAGTGTAAGCGTATGTGAGCGTGACGGTGGGGGTGAAAGGCAAGTGGCAGGAGCAAAGCCAATAGCAAGGGGTAGGGTGATGGCAGGAAGACGTGGTGAGCTTGGTAAGGGCACTTGCAGTGGTAAGGGCACTTGTGAGTAGAAACGGCTGGGGGTCAAGGAAAGCGCTGGGGCAAGCGATAGAGCTTGAAATGCAACATGGCCCACATGATTGCGTTTATGGATTGGGGGGGGGGGACCCCAAAGTGGACCCAAAAATACTAGAATCCTTACCGGGAGACACCGCAAAAAGGATCCCTTAATTTTTTTGAAAACCTCCATATTGTGAATATTTTGGGTTCAGGGGTTAAAAAAAACAAACAGATGCCAGGCTCGCAACACCAGACCGCCCAATCCGTGATAAAGTCATATTCCAGCACCACTTTTAGGGTCAAGGGCGGGGTTTACTGCATGGCTTAAAGGGGTTACCAGTGTACGTACTAACTCCCGTGACCATCCAAGCATCGTTTAATCGAGAGGTGCTATGTAGTCGCAAATATGCGATGTCGAGCTAGTTGTTGTACGTGTGGTGCATATAAGTTGTATCATGGGTCAGTCATACTTAGTTGCGGTGCAGCATGAGCCATAGTCTAAACTCCTTCAGGGGGGCTATATAGGTGACCATAGGGGACTACTATAGGGGTTATGAAGGGGGATACTAGGAGTTTAGACTCTAGCTCATATGCTGCGATCAGCATGGTGCCTGAAAGGCGATGGCCTTCTGCGTGGACAAGTCCATGTCCTCGCTGGCTATTGCACAGCGGATATGTGCAAGCATCACGGAGGCAGCCAAAAAGTCACCCATTATAAAGGTAAGGGTATCTCCTGAAAATTCTGTGGACCTTCGACCTATATGCTTGAAAAATCTGCAAGAAATAGCGCTCAAGGCCTCTTCTTGAAGGGAAGCTACTTTGAGGGACCCCAGAGTTAAGTACGCAATACAGGATTCGGGCAAAAGGGGAAAATTGGCTAACCCTTGTGACAGGAGCAGCCTGGATTGACGACCCAGCAGCTCGTCGCGCGGCTTTTTCTTCTCAACGACGTCACCCGTACATGTTATCTGGGTATGGGCAGCGGGATGCCAAGGGCCCCGAGTGCACGACGCCAAGAGGCAATAGTCGGGCGCACTCTACAAGACGCGAAGGGGTCAGTTTGCTGCTAGCAACAGTAGACATGCCAAGTTGTGCCACATGCATTGCTAATTTCATCCATGGTGTTGTATAGCGGGTCCAGCGGGCTCCTCGTCCTGCGGATAGGGAGTCGCCGCAAGCCAACCCCACCAACAGTATAACACATTTGCTGTCAAGTGCTTTTGCATTAGTCTTGTGCCAGGTCCTTTACAATTCTCACTGCTGTTGCCTTAGCTTTCGTTAATCAGTGTCTCGCATGGAAATGCCCACCTTCCACAGACCAGTCTGGAGGGCTTCAAGTTTTGTGCGACTTGGTCTAGGCCCTGGGTAGGTGCTTGGCTTGCAGGGCTCGGCGGCTGTGACTTCCTGTGGGCTGTAGAAGCACCTAAGCCAAGTCCTCCACTTCTGCAGCATCCAGGCACGAAGCCAGGGGCTTCGCAATACCGTCGACAATTTCAGGAGCTGCTACCGGCCCGCCGCCCAGGAAAGTGGCTGAAACCTCATAGTCCAAGTGAGCAAGTGGGCTTTAGGTACTACAATGTTAGTTGTGAGGCTAGTGGTCCGAAATCACCTTGCCAAGTGTAAGCCTAGTGCAGCTCCATCCTGATCCTTGAAAGTTGTCAACCATGGAGCTAACCATCGCAATGCGCATTAATGCCTCATGATGCAACTGCGTTGAGTGGGGAGATTGGAGGGAGGCGCCGGCGAGTGTTTTAGCGCAAGGCTGTATAGATTGTGGGTTTATTTAGACAACTGAATAATCCTTGGTTTCTTTCTCAAGCCTGAAAATCGCTCTGCCCGACTCTTTTCGGGGGGGCGCCATATTTATAAGAATCACCCTTGTGAACACACTTTGGACATGGTGACTTCCAAGTGGCAACCAGTGTACGGAGCAGACTGAACAATGAGAGTTGAGCTTTGGGGATTTTGGGGTACAGTCGGTACAGTATACTAGAATGATATGAGCCATAGTCTAAACTCCTTAAAAGGGAGTTATATAGGGGATCATATGGGGGACTATTGTAGGGATTATTAAGGGGGATACCAGGAGTTTAAACTATATCCCCTATAATCCACCACATAACCCCATATATAGCAGTTTCCATTTCATTTTCCATTTTCTTTTCCATTTGATTCTCCATTATCAAGGGGGATACTAGATTTGAGGTTTTGTAGGGAATGAGAGTAGCCGACTTTCAGCCTCATCATCGGACGCTAGACTTGCGGGTTAAGGGCCGAGTTCAGCTTTGAGGCTGCCCGGATATGCAAGGGTCCCTCTTAAGTAGATAGAATATGGCTTTGAGTATATTTTGATTTAATAAGATCCCCATATGCCCCATATTCTATCTACTTAAGTGGGGGCTATAACCAGTACTGCAGCTTCGCTATCAAGCAAGTGTCTGCTAGGGCTTAGCTTTCGCAAGCTGCTTTGCGGGGCTAAAGTGCAGCTTGTATCATGGGTTCTCTCTGAGAGGAACCTAATCAATGCCCAATTACCCGTGACTAAGGGGGAACCTGAGGGGGGGTAGTAGTTGCACCCATGATGGTAGGGGTCATGCCTCTGAGGATGTGCTCGAGCGGATTAGAGAGGCTGACGGCTTGTGCTTCTTGTTGCTCTCGTCGTTGTTGCTGTCGCATACTGTCACTGTTGCGACCATTTCTCACTTGCGTTCATTAATGTGAAGGTTGTTGCAATTTCTTGCGAGTGAGCTTGTCCGAGCCATTTTTTTTCAGCTGGGCTGTTGCTAAATCGTGCAGCGTATTTTGGTGAATGCACTTGACATTACCTCACGCGCGTGCAAAGACGAGGTTGTGGGTGCAGTTGGTTAAGCACTGCACAAAGGAAAAATGATTGTGCGGTGGTGCTTGTCATGTACACCGCCGCTTTCATTCTGCCACAACGCATGGTGAGTCTCATGTGCTTGCAGCTACTCTCTCTCTCTCTCTGTCTCTTGCGCTGCGCGTAGTCAATTAAAGCTGCAGGTGTGTGACAGCATCTCTACGATCGCGTCGAGTGCACTTCACGACAGGGTGCTTGGCCTGAATACGTTCCCTGCCCTTGCTACTGCCATTTTGGCATGAAAGTCTAGGCTAAAGGAAGCTGTGTATGCCAACCAGCTGTCAGCTTACAGCCTGAAGCTGCTTGTTGTTGGACTGGCTGCCTGCTGCAGGGGGCACACTACATATAGGGCTTATGATGAGAAGTGAATGGCATTTGCTGCCTTGTTTGGCAAGGCTCTGAAGCTCGTGGAAAATTGGTCGGAATGGCACCGGGCCCTAGATAGCCTGAGCAGCACGGTTCTGGTCCTTGGCCCTGGTTTATCTAGGTGTTCTTTACGCGTGTATGTACACACTCTATTGAAATGCCTGCAAAGTCCAATGCGCACAAGACGGCGCAAGAGCGGGCGCACGATGCGCACTGCAACCCTGACGCGCTATTACAAGAATTCAAGCAGCTCCCATTTCGGGTGTACACAGGAGCCTTTACAGCGACCATAAAGACGTGTCCTTACGAGTCCAATGGCCATCCGCATTGCCGTGGACATAGCTATTGCAGTCAAGAACGCGGAGTCCTGACTTTCGAAACGGCCGCAAGGACATTTACTGAAGTTAGCGGTTAGCGCAAACGAAGGTCCCACAGATTATGTCCAAAGTGACCCCCAAATGCGATATTGTTGAAAACCGCCTGCATAAGAGAGAAGCTGAGGGCGCTGTTCCCTCCGCGCTTCACGTGAGAGCCCAAGGCTTCAGTAGGCTGAGCAAGGCAGATCAGGATTTCCCAGAACGGAATTTTCCAAGGAGTCCTCTCTTCGGCGGCCCGGGGTCTTAAGAGGGATCCTAATTTTGGCGGGTGATCATAAAACTTGGTCTCCTTCTGAGATGGTCGGGCTGCAAACTGGATTTGGAAAAGCATCCAGGACATGCTCCCCTGAACCCTACCCTTGGGGGGTGCTTGACACCTATAGTTCAAGGGACCAATCCTTACAGGATCCCACAAGGTAAGCGGCTCTGGGGCCATTCAGAATCTGCCCTTGTACACTTTGATGTTTGGCTCTGGGGTGTCAAGGTGAATGGCCTGTTATTGATATTTCCCCTTAGAGACCGAAAGACAGGAATCTTATACTGAACAACCCACCCAAAAAAACGTAACTTGTGGAAGCCAGCCCTTTTGTTTGGCCTTTCCTCGCCATTTTGCTTAGGAAGGGCCTGGAGGCGCAGACGGGTCCAGACACCGCCACCATCCACTTGCCAGTGCTGAAGGGAGACCTATTGAGGGGCATCTGCGGGGAAGTGTTTATAGGGTTTAGGGTTTCAGGGGGATGGTATAGATCTAGTTGTAGGACTGCAAAACCTTAGTCACCAGTACGACCACCATGGCCCGAGTGAAGATATGGATGCACACGGAGACATTGATGTACCGGATAGATGGGCAGACTTTCGCTCGCAAGCCTGTATCAAGCACGGTTGCATAACTGATATATTCATACGTGTGCATATGCCCAATTATTTACACACAAGCGTATGTACACATACATACATAGACATATACACATATGTATGTACATATACATGTATATGTAAATGTGGTCTCAATCAAGTTTTCATCGGCATCGCATACTGTATCTCTGTATGCCTGTGACCATGCATACATATGTTCAACATTATGTACTACTCAATGTACGAATGCAATAGCGAAAAATGATAGATAATAGCCATAGTTCCAACAATCATAATAGTACAATAGTAGTAACCGCAATAACCCCTAGTGTTCACTTACGCGCAGGCTGTCCTCTGCGGCAAGGCAGACACGGCCGGAGAACAGGTGGGGTGTAGGGTTCAGGATGGGGGCTTTCATGCAACCCCACGTGGAGTTTGGAGTTTCTCAGAATGACCCACGAAGCGTAAGGGTGACCCAACATCCAAAATAACGGCTACAAAACGTAGGGTGCCTCATAATCCCTTTTCCAATCGCTGCATCTCTTGGGTCCAGAAGATACATTCCTAACCCTAATCCCGAAACCCTGAGCCCTACACCCTAAAACCATTCTTTAAATCATTTTAAGAAGCCCCAGGTCTCCAGCTCAGCTCCGCCCGCGGTGCAGCAAGCGCAGCAGCAGTGGCTGGGTATGGCGGACCTGGCAACGCTTGAGCATCCTGCCTGTCTTGGTTCCCTATTTTTGCGTTTAAGGTTTAGGGTTTAGTTTAGGGTATAGGCTTTAGGGAACCTGTCCAGCAGATATGTTGTATCTTTTTGAGCAGCGTCTTGACACGGAACAGTTAACCTTGGAAGAACTCCAGATACTGGACATCTAGATATCTGCCAAGCAGGGGTGGCGATGGCCAGAAGTCTGAACATGTCAGGGACTTTATCCTGATGCCCAGTCGCAATCCAAGGCGGGCTTGCAGGCAACGTGGCTTGTCCATCAAAGGCGCGAGCACATAGTATGAGTTTGGGACCGATTAGAAGCAGGATCTACTTCGTCCTCAAACACGTAAACATTGCAATCAAGATCGAAAACAACGCAGCTGGCTTGCTTTTGTTCTGCTGTCTTTCTGGAGGGTTCCTTCCCGCATGATGGACTTCATGCTTATCCTTGTGCAAGAAGAGAAGCGTTCTCCTAAAACGGCCCCTCCTGTCCTGCCTTCTCGTGAGGATTTCATTCCCTCACAGGCTCTCATCCAGGATTCATCGGAGGAATTATTTTTGGTCTTATCCTGGGCTTGTAGGATTGCTGACGAAGGGCCCATGCCTGGGCATTAATTAGCTGTTCAGGCAATCGGCAGCGTATGGTCGAACGGCTGCGCCTGGGCAGGTTTGCAGGCTTAGGGGTAAGGGATTGCGGCTTTAAATTGAAGAAGAGTCCAGAATGACCCAGAGCTAATACAGTAGCCTACATTTTCTTTTCCATCATCCCTATTATAATCCCCAATATAGCAGTGAGAAAGTCATTCTGAGCTACCCTAAACTCTTGAAACCCTAAACTTAACCCTTTAATTAACCCCTAAAACCTTATTGTTCGAGAGGCCGAGTTGTCGGGCAGAATTCCAAAACAGGGTTTCCGTATGATTCCTGTTGAAGGAACCCGAGCAATATGTTAGTTTCCCTAAATAGGGGTCCCCGGTATAAACCCCCAAATACTATAGTCCTTTTTATGGGACCCCCAAAAAGGTAACCCTAAGATTCAGAAACCACCATATCTGCCATGCCAAGCACGAACAGTCCAAAGGCTGGTGGGTAGAACACGTGGCTTTGATTTGGTTGTCTTCGTTGGGATGCTGAGCCGAAACTGGCTAGCGCCAGCTTATGACCTGCGGTTGATTGTTGAGTTGCACCCAGCATAGGAGGAAAGGACGGTTAGTCGAGATGCTTGTGTCTTTCTGAGGCCCTGCTTCCGTACAGGGTGACGACAAGTCATGCTGGAACCTCCGCCTGATAAGTGCCTGAAGGACCCAGCAGTATTCAGTGCTGTCAGGGCACTTCTTCGCCGTTCGAGGTACGATTCATGATCTAGGCTTCTGGTTTTGGACCATTTTGCATGGTTTGGTGTTGAGCAAATGAGGGATGAAAGGGAAGGGTGCGAGCAAGCTACTGAACTTTGCTGTGGCTCCTTATGAGCGTAGAGATCTGAATATTTAGCATGTGTCCAACGCGAGCTACTCTAATCTTTCCAGACCCCAAATTAAAGCCCAAACCCCTGGACCCTTAAACTCTGAAAGTCTAATCCCTACGCGAATCTCCCTGACCCCTACTCCATTCCGAAGACTGAACATTGAGCCACAAGCAACCAAGGTGCCTCTTTGAGGCATACTGGCCACCGGACATTGGGCAGAGTATGGAGCCAAAGCTTCCGAAGGACTGGCTTCATTAGGGTACAAACAGTGGGTTTCTGTAGGGTTTAGGGGTGTGTACCAGGACCCCCCCAAGTAATCACCCTTAAATGGAGTCTATGTAGGTCCTAATTGCTTGGGGTAGGCCTGACGGAGGGGGGTCTAGGTATTCGTAGAGTGGTAGGGTTGAAGGTGTAGGCTCAGGGGTGGGATTGGGGGCTTTGTTTTTCTTGCCCGGCTTCTGCGCAACGAGGCATTATGGGATATTATGGGATGACACCCTAGACCTTAAAGGCAAGTAGTTGGCAGATGCGCCTTGGTGATATAGGGGTTACACAGGGGTATATAGGGGTATCGGGGATTACCTGGGGTTATAATATTGGGGGTTTACAGGAGCTTTTATTCAAATTCTATCGTTACTGGATTTGGTTATTGGCGTTTCCTGCATCGCTGATAGCCCTAAGCTTGAAACAGTATTAGAGTCCCCGTAAAGTAGATAGAATATGGCTTTGGGCATATGATAATAAGATCCCCATATACCCCATGTTCTCTCTACTTAAGGGGAACTATACATTCTTGATGCTGCCTGGATTCCTTTGACCAGTTGCTGTAGACTGGTAGACCGCAGGACATGATGTTTCAAGCCCAAGGGTTGGCGCTAAAGACACTGGATTCTAGGGTGCTTTGCTTATTCCCAAAATTTTTCTTTTCGAAGCCTACATATCCCTGATGAGCTTAATTGTCCATGTGATCCTCCATTTCGGGGTAGTTACAATCCCAATTAAAATCCCTACATAACCCAATATACTATAGTAGCTTCCATTTTCTTTTCCATTATCCCTATATAAGCCCAATATACTATAGTAGTTTCCCTTCAATTTTCACCCTGTGGACACGGCCAGGACTTGGGTCGGGACGGGAAGATTGAGCCTGGGCTGGATGGAGATGCCGCGGACGATGTTGGGGAGGAGTTCAGGCTGGTGGTCTAGGGCTTTAGGGATAATGGAAAAGAAAATGGTAACTACTATAGTATATTGAGCTTATATAAGGATAATGGAAAAGAAAATGGAAACTACTATAGTATATTGGGTTCCGTAAGGAATTATACTGGGATTAAATTGGGGTCATACACAGGTCTATAGGTGGCGGAAGTGGCTGAGTGTGCTAGGATCATATGAGCTATAGCCTACAGAGGATTATAGTAGGGGAATATTATAGGGGTTAGTAAGGGGTATACTAGGAGTTTAGAACAATAGCTCACATTTCAAGAGTACATGGAGCTGGTACAGGACCGGGATAGCATCACTAAGATTTGGAGAGTTGTATTTTGTCGCTACTGTGTGCGTATCCTATGCACTACTCGGTTCACTCCCTCCCAGCATCAGAGTTGCCAGGCCCAGACCTAGATGCAAATATTAGGATGCTGAAGACTCTCCTTTCCAAACTTGCCATGACAAATTAAAAAGACTTGCAAATGTTGATCATGTCATGTGGGCTGTGAAGCCAGGCCTTCGAACTTAAGGTTTTCAAGATGGCGCAAATAGCGGCATTTACTAATAGTCATCCCGAGATCGGTCCTGAAGCTCAATAAGTGAGGTTGCATCGCAAACAGAATCAAGTACTGCAAATTCAGCTGGCAAAACAGTTTAGCCCAGCGCGAGGTGGCCCACACATGAGCTCACCGTCCCGCTCTTCCCACAGGGGCCTCCGTAAGGGCCGCAGCGCTTGATTGTGCCATAGTGTGCTTGATGACGTGCAGGGCCCGGTGCCTCCAGCGTGCTGTGAAAGGAAGGTTTGATCCCTTTTCCTGTCACGCACTTGTCCGAGCCACGCACTCTGCACTAGTGCGCTTGCTTGAAATCGCTCAGAAGCGCACTAGGCTTGCGCGCTGACTAGAATGGTGGTCCAGTCAGTAAGTCCTTGCAGAGACACGGTTGAGGCCAACAGCGTCAATCAACAATCTGGGCGTGATGCCTGACCCAAAGCGAGCAAAGAGAGATAAGGAGGTGCGAATGTCTTTTGTGCGGGGTTTGATTCTGTCCATTTTCCGTGAAATTTCATGTGACTGGAGCCGCCAAACCGCTAAAGTCTTGTTGATATATAGACGTCCCAAGAGCCACTGGTGTGTCAGCAGGCAGCAACCCCCTCTCGCCTTGCCTGCACATGATGCCAAGTTTGTGGAGCACTGGGAGTTCCTCAAAATGTGCATTATACAATCCTTGTAGAGATCCCTCAACATGTTTAAGCCGCCTTTCTTGCTGCAGGGTCCCTAAGGGCTCTACTTTGAGGAAGCTGCCCCAGCAAATCCTTGCAACCTAGGGCCTTAGGTAGGGAGGCATGCCACGTACCTTGGACCTGAAGTCAACTATCCCTTTTGCAGGCAAAGAAGGACAAGAAAGATCAGAAGAAGGATCAGGCAAAAGAAGCAGACAAGAGCAACAAGGACGGGCAGTTGGGGGTTACCCAAATCCTTTGATGTCGAATCGACTTCCCTTCATGAAGCACCTTGTGAAGAGAAGCCTTGGCATACCTCAATCACGGCAGTTAGCTTGCCAGTGTGATTCCTTATGCTGGAGGAAACGGCGAAGCCTTCCAAGGAGCCCGGCAGAAAGGAGCCAAAGCAAGCCAAAGAAGCGAAGGCTCCAAAGGAAGAGCCGCAGACAACCGATAAGGCAAAGTCGCCGGAAGAGGTCCGGCGCGAGAAGCTTCGACAAGTTGAGGCCAGGTGGTATCTCCGAAGACAGGAGGTCCCTCTTCGGGGATGTTGGTCGAGTCAGCCGCAAGGGCCCTGAGTCAGAAACGGATTAGTTGAGAACAGGGCAGGGTCAGTCAGGAAAGCACAAGGACCGAGTCAGAAGCAAGAGTCAGGAACAAGACAGTACAAACCAAGGCAGTTTAGGTTCTAGTGTTTACGGTCTAGGGGTTTAGGGGTCTAGGGTTAGGAGTTTCGGGTTTGGGGTTTTAAGGGACCCTAAACCTTAAAACCGCACAAAGACATACTGAGGAAATGGTTAGAGTTCTTGCTGTTCCTGACACGCCCCCTGTTCATTCTGCCTGTTCCTGACTCGGCCCCCGCCTGTTCTCGACTTGTGACTCGCCTCTCATCTCCCTCTTCGGGGTCCTTAGAATACTCAAGAAACCTTCTCCCTCGCCCTCTCCCCCGGCTGCCTTTTGAAGAAGTGGGCCAAAGCCTCGGCAAGAGGGCGTGTCCAGACCCTCTCACCAGCTGCAGTACTTGCCGCCAAAACCAGTAGACCATGCTAAGAGCAACTTTTTCATACTTTTTCTGCCAATACGTGGGTGGCTTCTGATCTTGTGCTGGGACTTGGGCTTCGCAATTACGCAGGGGATTTCTATGGTTTCCCATTGTGCAGTCAAGGTCAGCTCTATAAAGTGTTTAGGTAGGCCCAGTTTGTTTTGGAAGCTGCCAGGTCAGTCATGTCAGGGAAATCTCGCTGGCAATTTGGCAGTTGAGAGCTGAGCACTACAACGTGCAAGCGCACCTAAACGGAAGAGTGCCTCAACGACGCAAGCAGGACATCTTCCTTGTGGATCCGAAAACATGCTGCCTGACCCCACTTGTCCCGTGATCTTTCATGACAAGCACTGAAACACGTTGATCGGCGGGCTGCTACACTGCTTTGACTTCTGGTTCATGAAGTGCGGGGAGGGGCCTTTGAATCCGCTTGAAGTTAAATTAGAAAAGAGGCCCTTGAATGAAGCCTGCTGCATTCTGCGCCCAAGCTCCATCCATGCCCGCCACCATTATTGTTAGAAGAACACTTGCCTGCCGTTCCTCACGCAGGGTTTAGGAGCATCCAGTCTCCAAACCCAGACCGTGCCTGCAGGGTCTCTCAAAGTAATCAATCCGATCAATTGGTAGCTAATAGCCCTTACGAGGGATTCCTATCATTTTTTTCAAGTTCTTTTGTACGTCTAGCATACTGTATACGGCCTACTGTACCGTAGCTCTGTGCTGAGAAATGTCCACACGCATGATGGAGGCAGAGGTGGAGCGGTATCGCCAGCAGCTGGAGAAGCAGCGCTACGACTCGGAGGTTGGAAGCTGGATTCAGGGTTAAAGTTTTAGGATCAGGCGGCTACAGTACCGGCATGTGCCGGCACAAACGTGATGTAGAGGTGAAATTTCCTAATGATTCCTAATGTAGCGTATCCATGAGGCCAGATTTACGATAATGTGGTGTGGGACCTGAGATCAGGCGGGAGAACCGTTTTCAACAAACAGAGAGCAGCCTATGTACTTGAAGATGTGTCTCTTCAGACCTCTCATGTTACATGTATGATCTGCAAAACAAATGCACTGGTGTTGGGACTATTTGGTATTCGTGGAGGTGGGGCAGGGATGTCTAAACATGAGGTGTAGGGGTGCGCCTGTCAAGCTCAGAGAAGCTGGCACACGTATCTCCCCAACCTGGGTTCTAGAAACCAGGTCCTCTAGCGGGAGCTCAGATGGCATTCCATGTTGTCTCGGGCGATGGAAATCACATAGGCAAAGCGACCTTCCACAATCCACCTGGCCTATATATCTATCTATCTATTCTAATTTGTCCGAAGTGTATGAGCATCCGCTCTGTGCAACGCAGGCCTTCAGAGGAGACCCTGCCCTCGAAAACAAACGTACCTCACGAGACACCTAAGGACTGCAATCCTTTTAAAGGGGAGCTTCATGTGTTTCATTTCAGTTTAAGGAGAGTAAGCCTGAGAAACAAAGACAGCCTGAGGTGGTGCAGATGAAGTGCGACCGCCGGCGAATGGAGCTTCTTGAGGCTGCAGCGCACGAGGAGCCTAGTGGCTGCTGACTACGTAGTAGGCAAGGAAGGAACTGGGGGTTGTCCATAGTTGCTGCTTTTATAAATTTGCTGACTATGTCTCTCTAATTTTGGGGAGGCCTGTAGCCCACGAGCCCGGGCATGCTAAGAAGGTTTAGTGGCCCTGCAACAAGGGCCATACGTTTTGCTTTGGCTGCTTTAGGATAGTGCTGCAAAGGGCTCCGAGAGGCCAGGGATTTCGTAACGCTGGAGTTCTTTCTTTGGACCGAGGTGCGACGTAGGAGCATGCAGGCATTCGCAGACCGTTCTGCAAAACCAGCGTGCAAATCTGTAGTGTCTTGTTTTCAAAGTTTCGAGATGCCATTTGCAGGATCGTCGCATGCAAAAGATTGGACGCCCAAGCATGCTAGGTTTGCCGCGCACGACTTCCGCAGTTTGCCAGGAGTCCTTCTCGCTTCACCAGAAATCCATGGAGGCTGTAGCAGCTGCAGCAGCAGGAGAAGGCGATGTGTGGCTTCGCTAGTTTCAATTAGTTAGTGAATTCCCTGACGTCCTGCAAGCCACTGTCCAAGCTGATGTCAATGCAGTCATGCGAGACGGGCCTGCAAGTGCATAGGGTGGACGTCTCCTGCTGAAGACAGGCTCCTCGGCCTCATCGCAGCCAGCACCCAGCCAGGACAAGAGAGATTCTTGAATAATGCCCGGTGTATACAGTTGGATGCGTCACTTGCCTACCTTACCCAGCCCTAGATGTGGGAGCTTCCTGGACACGTAAGGGAGTTGCGGTTTTGCAGTGACACGGCTGAAAATTGCAGAAACTCTGGGCTGGCAAACTTGAGACAATGGGCCGCCAGGAGAAGCTGAAGCAGAAGATTGAGCAGGTACTTAGGTTTCAGGATTTTGGGCTTTGGGATATTAATTACCCCCCAATAATGAAGAACCAGATGAAAAAGAAAATGGCACATGAAATGGACATTGGGTGTAGGGTTTGGGGCAAAGGACAGGTAAGCCAAGGAACTGTAGTAGATGCTTGCTTGCATACTGTGAAGACTACGCACAGAGAAGTCACTTGGGATCTAGCCAGACAGGGGAGTCTCAGTGGCATTCACGCAGAGATGTTGCCTTGCGGGCCAGGAACCAACCACCCCAGCAGCACTTGCCAAAGAGCAAGATAATTCCACCAAAAGGGGCGAGAAAGAGAAAGATACGAAGCAGGCCGGGCCAAGGTGAGCGCAGCAGCCAGGCTGTTTGGGTACCCTGGCAAATTTCTGAACGGCGCTTTGAGTTTCAGTAGCACGGCCATTTCGAGTATGATAGCGACTAATGACTAGTTGGAGGATTTGTCCCTTGTTGCGAATCTGACGCCTGCTTCGATGACATGTCCTTTCGTGAGCCTGTGGGCACACTCCTTTCGCAGCGCACGCAGCCTGCTTTTCGGATTCTGCAAAGCACCTCTGAACGCAAAGGATAGCAAGTCAGGGAGAGAGAAGGACAGCAAGGATGTCAAGCCCAAAGATGTAAAAGATAACAAGGCCTCTCGGATGCCAGGTGTCAGCTTCCCACAGGCTTTTCTCACCTCCGTGTGCCTTTTCTTGAAGGCATCGAAGGAAGCAAAGCCAGCGAAGGACACTGCAAAGGACAAGGCCAGTACTGTAAACATATCTTCCTCTTGCTGACATGCGTACCTATCCCAATGTAGTCTTGGTGAGCTTCCAAACATGGAATGGCAGCATTCGTCGCATGCGTAGGCAGCAGCCGCCTCCGCAGGTCAAGGACAAAGACAAAGACAAGGAGAAGGACAAAGACAAGGAGAAGGACAAGGATAAGGAGAAGGACAAGGACAAAGAGAAGGAGAAGGATAAGGAGAAGGACAAGGATAAGGAGAAGGACAAGGATAAGGACAAGGACAAGGGAAAGGAGAAGGGTAAGGATAAGGAAAAGGATAAAGACAGGAGCAAAGCAAAGGAGCAGGCGGACTACAGCACCTGGTTTGACGTGAGTCTGTCAGAGATGATATGTTTGTAAGGCCGTGTGTTGAGAAAGAAACATTTTTAGGCAGAATGCTGTTGATGCCAGGTTTAAGTGCTTCAGGAAGAACATGGTGGACCCTCGTTCTGCTTCTTAGGCTTGCTTTAACGTGCTCATGACAACAAGGTTTCCGACTAGATCTCTTTTAATTTGTTCAGCAGAGCTCATAACGATGGGAAGCCTGTGGAGGCAAAGCAGGTTTTCTGGTTTTGGACTGATGGGCGTTCGTAAATTGAGGTGGTTATTCTAATGTCCCGCTGAGAAGTAGAAGGTGTTCTGACATGCCGCCGCGTGTCCAGATCGACTTTAACTAGTAAGAGAACCTATTCCTGCAAAAGACCTGTGGAGCCTATGACGCTTGGCATCTTCCCGCATCAAGGAGGTGCCGCAAATTTGCTGCGTGCCCTGCCATCAATGAGAATCAAATGCCAACACGCGCGCCGCCACCTTGTGTACCGATGCTACTGTTTATGCGGTTTCCAGAGATTCTACGTATTCGGGATATGCTTGCTAACATACCAATGAACCAGCCTGTGCGTTACAGCTGCCATTCTTAACCACCAGGAGAAGGAGAAGGATCGCAAGAAGAGGCCCCTTCTTACTGGTTGTTAGTAGGAATGAAGGAATGGCAGCAGCATGGAATATTAGGAGGTTATGTATGAGCGATTATAGGGATCCGTTCCCTAATTCCTTCTAGCAGCCAGTATGTCTGCGCGGAGTGGATGCATTATTTCACCCCCCCTAGTATTCAATACCGTTCCACATCTTGCTGTTACACATTACGCATAGTAGCCCAAAATGTAGCGGGGGATTTAGACTATGAGATATGACATTAGGGGTTGGGGACGGTTCCTCGATGTCAGGTGGAGGTGATGGATGGCCCGTGGTTTGCCAAGGGATTGATAGGATACAAATAACAGCAATAATAACAATAGTAGAAATAACAGTAATAAAACATAGGGTGTAGAGGAGGTTAGATCAGTCTTCGGTACATGCAAAGTCTTCGCTGTAGCCTTATGGGCTCTGATCATCCCAGGTTCTCAACAAGACCACAAGAGAGTTCGAATCCTACACATTGAGAAGTGCTAGTTACTTCATACACAAGGAAGTGAACTTAGTCTTTGACAGTTAACACCGTACTGTTTTGTTGCCAATGAGACCCCCCCAGACCCCTTGCAATTCCAAAGCTACGCCCGCAAAATCCTCACGCCCTAACACACTGAAAGCACGCCTAAATATCACCCAAACTGACCTCAGGCAATCCCTGTTTGAGCTTGGACACAAACCGGGGATAAGTACGGTTTATGTAGACCTGACACAATGGGACAATGATGAGTAAAAATTGATAACGTGTTAGATTGGATAGCCGGCTGGCCTACGCGTTTCTTGGCGTTTTTGTGAGACCCGAAGTTACTTCTAAGATTCTAGTAGTCTGTTCTCACAAGGAGCCGCGAACGACGAGCGAGTAGCTCAAGCTGCAGCCGCAGCAGGCCACGTGAAGATAAGAAGAGGGCTTCAGGGTGTAGACGAGAGCAAAAACGGAGATGTGGAGAAGATATGAGGGTTCGCAAGAACACTCCCTTTTCGGCCTGGGTGGTATCTGAGGGATCCCCCCATTGATGGAAACTCGCATGTGAGTGCCGTGGGGGTTTAGCGCTGAGGCGCAGTGAGGAAGATGCAGGGGTTTCTTGCCTTGATGGGGGGGGACCCTCAGGTCTCTTCACAGCGGATTTTAAAGATACACCTGTCTCTGTGTTTAAAGTCTAGGGTTTCGGGGCCTGTCATGGGCAAAGGATGATAGGGTGACGTACAGGATATTTCGGGCAACCTCCATAGTAGATTATGTGCGGTGGAAATGATGTAGCAATTGTCCAGGGCTTGGGGATCTGTGGGAGCACGTGCTCCTACATGTGGGCTCTACTGTATTTACAGTATTGGGACTTATATTGGGGATAATGGAAAATACAA